TATTCAAATGTCTGTGAAAAAACATCGAATGAAATATGATGAACAAGGTAATCTAATTGATGATAAAACTGATAATGACGAACAATCAGCTGAAGCTGAATTTGCTAGAATATTTACAAAATATTATTAATACTGTCATCCATTACTAATACTGTCATCCATTACAATTGAATAAAAAAGATCAAAATTCTAAACCGGTCATAGCTACATTTCAATCACGATTTAAACTTAGATCGTTATTAATTAAAAGGAAACAGTTTAAGGAGATGACCGGAATAGCAATTTTTGAAGATCTTACGAAGATGGACAAATGGTTATTAGATCAGGCACGTGAAGTATTGGCTGATGAAGATAAAACATATGTCGTGGTGGTAGAGTATGCTATAAAACGGAGAGTCAAGGAATCGTTTTCATTAACTCGTATGATGATATTCAAAAGTACATTTATGGTGCATTAGTTTAGAGGTCATCTACAGGTAACATTATTGCGTTTTCGTTTTTCTCCTGGTTTCTTCTTTCCTTTGTCTGGGTCAAACTGACCTCATTTCTTTTATTCTACGTATCGATAGTGTTGTGTACAGTGCAAGTATAGATTTTTTTTTTTTGTTGTTTGATTCTCTTATGCATAGGCTAGTGTAGATGAAGGGTTGGGTTAGTGATCATATATGCATATCAACCCCTCTTTGTTCCCTTCCTTCTTGAATATGTTATCTTCACAAACTGCAGAATGTGATTTTCATAATGATTATGGTTAAAAAATTATCTATCAATCAGTCAGGCAGTGAAGCCGTTCTGTTATTGAACGTCAACAGTTTAATGGCTTCGATTGACAATAATACATCTCTATCTTGTCTTGTTAATGTGAAAAAGATTGATATTTTGCGTAGTTTAGTTGCGCAGGAACGACCAGCTGTTGTGGTTAGACTTGGTTACATGGAAACATTCTTGATTCAGAATTGTTGTTAAGTGGATATCAGATACCATTTCGTAGGAATAGAATTGGAAAGAGAGGTGGTGGCATTTTAGTGTATATAAGAGATAATCTACCTTGTAAACGTTTAACTAAATTGGAGGATCCTTACTTTGAAACACTACCCTTCTTGATAAAGTTTCCTCTGTCAAAAACGATATTGTTTACAGCGTGTTATAGACCAGATTGGATTGATATGAATGATTATACTGAGCATTTAGATGCAGTTTTGACTGAGTTTAGAAGTAATACATGTTATAAGAATGCTGATATTATTCAGTTGGGAGACTTTAACGCTCATAACTTCGATTGGTGTCCTACTAAACCTTCCACTTCTCAAGGGAAAATTTTACGTTTATTCAGTGAAAGTGTACAATTGTACCAGATAACTGAAAAGCCTACGAGACCAAAATCAGCAACGTGTTTAGATTTAATTTTTGTTGATAACTTGAACTTAGTTAAGGAATTAGAGATTTTACCTGAGCTAGCTTCCACTTGTGATCATAATGTTTTGAAATTAAACCTTAACTTACTCCAACCCACAGTTACACAGCATGATAAGACTATGTACGAGTATCGGAATGCAAATTGGAGTGAATTTCGCAGCAAACTGGCGGATATTAATTGGATGAATCTTATTTCAGGAATGAGTCTTGATGATGGTGCCGTGGTTATAGAAAAAATGATATCACAAATTGCAGATTCAATCATTCCACATAAAAGTGTTACCGTTAAGTCTAGTGACTGTCCATGGTTTAATGATAGGTTAAGAGAACTGCTAAAAAGGAAACATGAGTTATATAGGGCACATTGTAAGTTCAACACTGCAAGCACGGCTGCGAAATCCCGAAATGTATCTAAAGAATTTGATAGAGCTTGTAAGTTGGTGAAAAAGGAGTATTATCAGAAATTATCAAGAGAGATGAACTGTTCGTCAAAATCATGGTGGCGTTTGGTTAAAAATACGCTGAATAAAGGAAAACGTAGTTCTATACCACCGCTTCTAGATGCGAATTCAAACGAGCAGTTAACTGATCCTAAGCAGAAAGCTGAACTTTTAAATCAACATTTTGCTGCGGTTTGTTCGATGCCGATCACAGAAGCGAATGATGTTCCAACAGTAATTCCAACGCAAAGTAAATTTGCAATGTCAAGCTTTACTGTTTTGGAAACCGAGGTATTTGAGCTGTTGGCTAAAGTTGATTGTAACAAGGCCAGCGCGCCGGGGTTGTCAGCTAGAATTGTTCGAGAAGCGGCTCCGATTATATCACCTATCATCACTTATTTATTTAATGAATCGTTAAAACAAGAATTGTTCCCTCAAAAGTGGAAAACGGGCTATGTTACTGCAATTTTTAAGTCCGGTAATCCACATGAAGTAAATAACTATCGACCAATAACACTACTGCCGATTATTTCTAAGGTATTTGAGCGATTAATTTATCGTAAAGTGTATGGTTATTTAACTAAGTATCAACTGTTAAGTGCTAATCAGTCTGGTTTTAGACATGGAGACTCGACTGTCAATCAACTGATTGCAATTGTTCATGAAATTTTGTTAGCGTTTGATAAGAGTGAGAGAGTTTTGAGCGTTTTTTTTGATTTTCAAAAGGCATTTGATACCGTTTGGCATAAAGGATTGTTGACGAAGTTAAAAGCGAAAGGCATACCTCAGTCCTTAGTGAATTGGTTCGATAGTTATCTTCATGGGAGAGACATTATAACAACTGTTGATGGTTTTGTGTCATCAAAAAGAAATGTCAATCGAGGGGTACCCCAAGGCTCTGTCTTGGGACCCTACTATTTTTAATATATATTGACGATCTTGGTGAAAACATTACATCAAATATGCGATTTTTTGCAGATGATGCATCGCTATATCGTGTGACAGAAAAAAATGACTTGAAAAAATCCATCGAGGAAGTCAACAAAGATATGGAACAGATGTATTCTTGGTCTATTAATTGGAAACTAAGCTTAAATATTAATAAATGTAAAGCGATGTTGTTTTCTACACGTGAGAGAAATACTCTAGGTTTTTTACCACCTGTTTTAATCAATAATTTACCTCTATCATATGTAAAGGAGCAAAAACATTTAGGGTTAGTACTGAAGTGTAATCTCGATTGGACTGCTCATGTCGATTATATTTTAAGTAAGGTGAATTCATTAATTGGATTGTTGAAACTTCATACTCGTGCTCTTTCCAGACAGGCGTTGGATTTAGTGTACAAGTCCTTTGTACTGAATGTGTTTACTTATGCGTCAGTTATATACGGAAATACTACCGATAAAAACTTAGACCGACTCGAGTCAGCACAGTATAAGGCTGCTCGAGCGGTTTCTGGAGCAATGATGTATAGCTCAAAGGAACGAGTCTTTAAAGATCTGAGACGGGAAGCTTTGCGTGAAATTTTCAAACGATATAGATTAGTTTTATTTCAAAAAATAGTCACGGGAAAAACACCTTCCTTTCTGAAAACGTTGTTACCCTCACGTCCCATATCTCCCATCAATTTTGCTTACTCTCTTCGAAATCGAGAAAGAATGCTTTTACCTACACCACGGTGTCGTTTAAATATGTTATACGAATCAATGATTTATCGAACCGCCAGAGATTACAATGCACTCCCAATTGAAACTCGAATGACTTTTCATATAGGGAAGTTTAAAATGTGTTTATCGCCTAAACAACAGCTGAGTAAAATACCATTAATTGACAACAGGAATGTTGATATTACTTATTGCAGATTAAGAGTTGGTTTTCGCAGCTTCGAAAAGACTTATTTCGACGGAGTTTAAAACCTAATCCGTTCTGTATGTGTGATAATTCAACAGAAGAGAGTCCTGTACACTATTTCTTTGACTGTTCGTTATTTGATGTTGCTCGATCAGCTTTAAGATCGGTCTTTCAGTCGGAGTTAGCTCATCTTCCTTTTGATTTGAAAACGCTCTTGCTTGAAGTTCCTCTCACTACTAACGACTTGAATATTATCGTCGAAGCCGTCACTGAATACATCCAGGTGACGGATCGCTTCCCTGTTAAAGACTGAACTATTATTTTTGTCTTAATTAACCACATTTGCTGTTGTGAAGTATAGCATATCAAACTCTTCCTCCCTAATCCCCACTCCAAAAGTCACATGATCACTTACATAACCTGACATGATTCACACTTATTGCTATTGAAAGTTGTTAAAAAGTAGAATCATTTTTTTCACTTTTTTTTTTCATCTACTAGTGTTATTCGTTAAAATTCTTATTCACTACTCGCTATAGACTTTGTCTGCTAGAATAGTGACGTTTGTTAAACTGTTGTTGTTGTCATCAAATCAAATAATAAAGAACATCTTAACTTTAAAAAATATTATGAGGAAATTGGTGATTGTTTTCCCGAATTATTACGATTAAAAGAGTTGTTAAAACTGGGTGCATTGTCACGATTTATGCAATCAAAGTATGAAGCGACTAAAGACTATATTTGTACG